TCCATCAAGCTCAAAAAAAAAATAAAAAAGTAAATAAATACTCATTGTAATATATGATCATTTTTCCCACTCAATATATTCAACTAAGATGATCATGTAAGTATATATATTTGTGTTCATCTTGCAGGTCAGGGCAGAGGTTAAGGTTCCAATTTTAACTCCTCAGAAAGAACAAGACATAACTGCCTCGAGAAGATCTCCAAGACACGCCTCGAGAGGCAAACGGGAAGCGGTACTTAACGTTCAAGAATATGATGAGAATGAACTGGAGGGAGATAATGAGAATCAACCGGAGAGAGCAAGTTCTAGAAAAAGAAAGGTATATTAATAAATTATCATTACTTACATGATCATCTTAGTTGAATATATTGAGTGGTAAAAATAACCATATTATTTATTTGTGTTCATCTTGCAGGTCAGTGCAGAGATTAAGGATCCTATTCTAACTCCTCGGAAAGAACAACACATAACTGCCCCTAGAAGATCTCCAAGACGCGCCTCGAAAGGCAAACGAAAAGCGGGACTTCATGCTCAAGAATCTGTTCAGAATCAACCGGAGGGAGATAATGAGAATCAAATGGAGAGAGCTAGTTCTGGAAAAAGAAAGGTAAATTAATAAATTATCATTACTTTTTTTTTAAATAAATGTATATCTAACTTTGTTTTCTGTTGTGTGTAAAAGGCAAGTGAAGAGAATCATAAGTTAATGGCTAAGAAGAAAAAGCGTTCAAGTTTTGAAAATCCTTCAAAAGAAGCAGATGATGATGAGTTTATACCCATACCAGGGACATATAATGAGCATAAAAAGGTATATTTGTAAGAAAAAAATATGTAATTCAATTATATATAGGTACCTAGATTGCTTTAAGAAAAATTTCTTGATCAATGTTTATTTACCTTTTCAGGCAGAAGAACTTGACAAAGAAGCTGAACTTGACAAAGAAGCTGCAGTGGTGACTGATTTACCCTTGGAAAATGATGCTGTAGTACTGGTGAGAGTAGGAAGCAGGCCTCAAATGAAACAAAAGACTCAAGTGGCGAGAAATTTTAGCATGCAACACTACTAGAAAAGTGTCTTACAATGACACTATTTTAGTGACACTATCGTTATTTCATGACATTAATGACACTTCGATATCAACGTTTACTTCTAGCTTATATCAGCGACACTCCCATTTGATTCGCTCTATTTTATTTTAGTTTCTTCTTTTAATTTACAAACTAAGTTATCACTTATCACCCACTTCAATCCTCCAACCCTAACACTTCTAACTATCTGCCTCTATCTCAATCTTCATTTAATTGTTTTTTGTATTTGCAGGGGAAATCGACCAGTCTTCTTCCATGGCTATCCTCCCTGTGCTCGCTCATCCTCCAAGCTGCTCGCTCATCCTTCAAGCTGCTCGCTCGCTGCAGTCCACCTACAAGTTCTGGTCGAGTTGGCTCGCTTCACGCCATCGCTATGTTTGTCCGTCACAGACTCGCGGCGATGCAATATTCTGGATTTCCCTCGGCACTCGACGGCTCTTGTTAGATCTACCCCTTCGCAGCTTGGAAACTCGCCGACGCTCAAACCCTTCCACCGATTGCTCGTGCGTCACTCGATGCCGACCGCCTCCTCAATCGGCCGCCTCACTAAGCCGATCAACACCTTTCATGGGATCCCAAGAGCCTAACTCCTCCATCGATTTTCTGCTTTCTTTGGCCCTAGCGTGCGACTCCAATCTCCTAAGTCAGAGTCCTTTGCGATTATCCTCGTGAGTCTTCTTTGCAGGTGGAGTGCTTCTTCCTCAACAGTTCTTGTCAAATTCCAGGTATGTAAATGAGAAAATTGTGCGTTTGGAATTCGTTATCTGCTCTTCGATCATTTAGCTTTTCTTTTGAGAAAATTTAGTAGATTGAGTCATTTCATCCAATTGTCTCTTTTGCAAGTAGAATCGTAGTATCATTAAAAATAATTTGATCTTTACCTGGTCTCTATTGTAACATCTAAATCAAACTAGATTTTTGTTAGTCATCGATTTAATCATTGTTTGCATTGTTTTCATAAGCTGAAAGTAAATCTACAAATAATAGGAATTAAATTTTGAGCTTGGACTTTTACTCCATTGATAATGTTCATCATTTGGAAAACGAGTAGCTTAATCCAATGTATAACTTGTATAATTAGCTTAAACGGTGAAGTTTTCCTTCTCTGTAGGGTTGTCAAGCTCACAACTTTCAAACATTCACACAGTAAGACTTTTGTCCCGACAATATATGCCAACAATATGTGTATCTTTCTGTTGTACTTTGTAGCTGCAGGCCATCAGCTTTTGTTTGCCTTGAGGTGAGTGAACTTGGTTTGCCCATGTGGAGTTTTTTAAATTATTTTACTTTTTACATCACAAGAAACTTGTAATGTGTTTAGAATTTTAAGTTGCTTGACCAAACACATACACATGCTTAAAAACTCTTGTTTTCTGGCAGTGGAAATGTCTTTTAATTATTTTTTGTTTAGAATTTTAAGTTGCTTGATCAAACTCTTGTTTAACTAAACAACAAATTTTGCGGTCTTTTAATTATTTTGTGTAATCTTTGTTGTACATTTTTTGTAGCACTGAGTGCAAGCCCAACAAACATCGCCTTCTCTATTGCCATAGCCAGGCAGATCTGAGTGATTTAGCGCTTTCTGTTGACAAGTGTAACTCTGAGGGTACATCCGAAAACACCCAAAATCAGACTCTCACCTCCACTGATAAAAAATAGTGAATTTGATTAGATGCTCCATTAAGAATCTTTAGCAATGTATTATGTGTATAATTGTATTAAAGCTTTAAGATTTCAAATTTGCTAGCTTAGTTTATAAACGGCAAACTCTATTTCTATATATCTTAATCTCGCGTATGTGTACAGGTTCATCCCTGATTGTAGCTTCAGGGTTACTCTGTCACCCATGTGCAACTTTCTGCCAGTGATGGAACTACACTGTGGCATGGGGGTGCCTGTACCCTGCACTTTACTTTTTTCTAATGTGTGTGTGTGTATATATATATATATATATATATATATATATATATATATATATATATATATATATATATAGTTATTAATAATATCATTAATATATAAGTAATTAGCCCCTGCAGCCGAGACAGTTGGCCGACCCAGGTGACCCCGCAGCCCGCCAACCCTGTGCTCCTGTCGACCCATCTACGGATCTACCCAGCGTCCCAGCCCAACTGCAAGTGTGAAGTGTGGCAAGTGCTTAGACACAGACATAAGCGGAGTTGTGAATAACCCTCCTCTGCACAGGAACATGCCAACAACAACCCAATGAGTTGGTGCTTTCAGCAGACTACAATGGCAGCGAGACCACCACTCACCACCCCTTCATCCGAGTCCGCCAATGACTTGAAAATATGAATAAACTGCTGTTTGACATTATGTATGCACGTACTAAGACATTGAGGAAAGGTCATTTAACAGATTTGTTGAGGCTTGTTTGGAGGAGACAGTTGTTTTTGTGGACATTATGTATACAGGTAACTATTTATAATAGAGTTTCTCGAATGAAGTACCTCATATGCGTTTAAATTCTCTATCACACAAACATCTTTTCTCATTCATGCTTGTTGGTTACATTTTTTTTTACCCCAGGGGGGCGTCATCGAAGTAGGGTTTGCTTGGTTAGCACATGTCTTAGGGAGTTCCCATTATATGCAAATCCATCCATTGTACTTCATGTCCTCACCGGGTGTAATCTGGACCCTCAAGATCTCCCCATACTAGAGGGAAGTTCTTTCTTCCCATTCTCATGATTCCAGATAGATATTTCCTGACTTGAATTATAATATGCATTTTGCAGGTCACATGTTCTTTCTTGATGAATGCTGCTGCTATGAAGATAGGTGATGTGTACAAATTGTTATTGGCATTGCCAATTAACTTTGCTATATGTATGTACGACGTGTAGGCGGCTCACTTTTTGGAACTAAATTATGTAGTTGCTTAGAATTCTATTAATCAATGGTTTCTTAGTGGTAAAGTGATCACTTTAGTGTTGGATGTTGCTGGATCTTTTGCCATGTTTCGTTCAACAAAGTATTTCTGGTTTTGCATATGCCTAGAATGCAAACTTCAAGAACAATGTAACTTTGACATTGAAATGAATATTCTACTTTAAATGTTCAATCTATGTTTTGACTTTTGACATTGATATGACATATTTTTAAATATAATTGAAATGAATTTTCTAAATTACCCATCAAATGGAATGCTGAAATAGTGCAAAACAAAGTGATACCAAAGTGTCACTAAAGTATGGTGTTGCTTGAATGGAAAACATAATTATGTGATACCGTGGTGTCACTAGAATATGAGATGTAAACGTGTCACCGAATAGTTATGTCACCTATGTATCACTAACTAGTGATACCATAGTGTCACAATTTTGTGACACTTGTAGTGACACTTAAAAAGTGTCACTATTTCCCACTTTCATTGACACTTTTTTAGTGTCACAGAAACTTTCAGTGACACTAATTTGGTGTCACTGTAGGGCATTTTTCTAGTAGTGCAAAGAACAACAAGGTCTCTCGTTGAAAAGAGAAAGGAGCAGAGCCCCAACATGAAGATGTTTTCGATCTTAGTTGACAAGTGTATGGGTGATGGATACACAATAAAGCATGACGCGGAAGTGTTTGGATTCCCGACCAAATCTGTTTTTAACAAGGACATCTGCAAGTTAGTGCTCAACTTTGACAAGGCTAATAACTCTGTCATAGAAATATGGTGCAAGTAAGTACCATTCAAGTAATTTGTATCTACCTTTAGATGTTTCTGTAAGATACTTTCTGTTTCTGTAAGATTCTTTCACAAACTTATCAAATTGTAGGCACCTACATGAGAAAATGATTGACGATGGTGGAGAAATGCCCGTGCAATTTGGCACTTCTGCTGCTATACCTTGCCCTAAAAAACAATCTGAAGAAGCAATGATAAGAAGATCTCAATACATAGCGGATTTACTTGGAGTAGGCTTGGTCGGGCAGATCACACTTATCCCATATAATTCAGGGTAAGTTGAAGCAAGAAAGCTAGTATATATTATTTTTTTGTAACTAAGAGTGGTTGTTTTTTGTACTACAAATTATATTTGGTATCGGGTTAGGCAGATCACACTTAGTAATGTGGTACTAAGAATTTTTTTTAACTTTTTAACCAAATTGTTTAATTATATGCAGCGATCACTGGGTTTTAGTTGCTATTGACATCGCGTTTGGGAATGTATACTACCTGGACTCGCTTGGAGATATTCCACCCTTCGATTTGCAAGTTATTGTGGACCAGTTAAGTACTTTACTAGAGCGGAATGAATTATATTATGTGCTTATTGGTTGTGTTTGTATGAGCATGCTGGCCCATTTGATCTCCAAACTCACAACTTCAATATGAAGTGCCATCACTATTGCATGAATAATCTGTTTTCTTAGACTGTAAATAATGTACTGATCTCCAAACATTCCTTAGACTGTAATGTAATAATCTATTTTCAATGGCTCATAGATATGATAATCTGATCAATAACTATCATGATGCACATTATATTTTTAGGGGAGTGAAGATGTATCAAGCATCAAAGTCAAGTAGGCTGAAGTCAAATTGGATCAGAGTTGCGGTATGACAATTATACATTTGATTATATCTTCTCACTTCATAATTATCAATGCTTATTATATTTGAAATATTATAAAGTCCTAAGCAAAAAGGAGTCACAGAATGCGGGTATTTTGTGATGAAGTATATGAGAGATATCATTGCTGATGTCAGTGTGTTGAAGAAAAATGTGAGTGTTATCTATTTTTTCTTGTAGTAGTTTAATATATAAACAATTGGAATCTGAATTTTTTTTGTCATTAAAGTTCTCTGCAGTGAAGGAGTATTCAGAAGAAGACATTTTACAAGTCCGTGAAGAATGGATAACATATGCTGCCAGCTTGCTAGGAGCGTGAGTATGATTGGTGTGTTTAATTTGTTCATAGGCCAGCTTGTTCATTGGGATTTAATGCATTAGTTGATTCATTCTGTTTAGAATGGGGTGATTTAATGCATGTGAAATGTTTGTACAGAATGGGGTGATATGTGGGAAGAAGCTTGTAGCAGACCAGGGTAGGAATTTTGAGTGAAGCACCATGGATATTTGACTACTAATCAGCACTTAAAAGTGCTTGACTGTATTACCATGTTTTGTCATTTTGGATTAAACTTCTGGTCTTATGACTTATATGTTATGTCAAAGCCATGGAATGTATTTTGATGAATTTACAAGTAACTTACATACTTTATGGTTCATGGTTCATGGAACTGCAGTAGGTTAGTCCATGAAAAACATCCCAATGATACGTGTGATATGTATCATGCATTTCGATCAAGTGAATTGTAATGGATATATGTAATCTTACTTATGGATGTATGATCATTTGGTTTTTGGTGATAATGATGGTATTTTTAAAGTTATATATTTTCTTAAATGCTTTGTATATGTGATTGAAAATATGAAACCATGTGTAAAATTAATGATAGCATAATACAAATATTTCAATGATTAATATACAATGTTATTGATAATAAAGATACTAAGTTGTCAAAAATTGTTTTGATGTCTTAGAGTCACTTTTTTGTATGATACTTATGCATCATAATTAATCGTGTCATTACAGTATCACAATTAATTGTGATACATGTGCGTCAAAATATTTAATGATACCTAAATGTCATAATTTGCTGACATTTCTCCTGTGACACTAAATTTAGTGTCACCATTTCCTACCTTCTACGACATTTGAGAAGTGTCACAGAAACTTTCTGTGACACAAATTTAGTGTCACTATAAGGCCTTTTTTTACTAGTATTAGATCTATTTTATTATGCATAGAAAATTTCAATCAATAATCAAACCAATCTAACCCAAGGACGGCAGAGAGTAAAAATTTCAATTAATAATCAAACCATTCTCTAATGTACAAGTTAACAAAATCTCACAAAATAAGAGAGTAAGGACGGCCGAGTGGGCACTAGTAGAAAACTGGCTTACAGTGACACTTTTTTAGTGACACTTTCTAATAAAATGTTACTAGTAACACAAAAGTGTCACTATTCTCTAACCCAAATATATCAGCACCGCACATTGACACTTTTTACAGAACACGGTCGGTCTTCTACTAATGGGCCGGTCTACTGAGTAGCATTTCAACACTTAGGTTTGTTTCCACTCCCCTCCCATTTCAGATCTATTTACATCATCGGCTCTTCTATCTGTGAACCTTAACTCCTCGATCTATTGTCAGCTTTCTTGGCACTACCGCACGCGACTCTATCTCCTAAATCAGAGAGCCCTTCGCGATTTATCCTCGTGAATCTTCTTTGTAGGTTGAGTGCTTCTTCCTCAGCGGTACGTTCTAGGCAAATTCCAGGTATGTACATGATTGGTTATTTATTTCTTCTGAATATTCTTTGACCACGTGCGAGCGAAAAACCTAGGGTTATGAAGCGGTGGCCGTCGATGGTGATTGGTAACCTTTTGACGAGTTAGTATTCATCGTTCAGTTTTTTTAGTATTCATCATTCATAAATTCATTACAGTTCTAGTTTGAATACTTGCCTAGAAAATATATTTTTTCAGGAATTGAGAGATATATCTTTTGAATTTGATGCTATCTTCTTAAAAAAGTTCTTCCTATTGGATTTGGTCATTTCTCCTGAAGCAGCGAGGGTTTAACCTGGCGTCGATTACGTATCCTCAAATCGGTATGACTACGTACAATTGGATCTTCTCAAACGAATATGGATCGAAACCTTAGATCCAGGTTCTACTTCATCTTTATTTTTCCCCTGGTTTATAATCCCAACTTATCAGTATGTTAAAGGTTGATGTTTCCTTCATATGTCACTGTCCTTAACCTTTTCCTAGCAGGAGTATGACTAGCTTCAAGTTCTTGACTTGATTGATAGTTTTGATTGTGATGATAAAAGACCCCTGGTTCTGGCTCTCTCAATCTAGCTTCTACAACTAAGAATAAAACCCTAGGTATGGCTTTATGCATATTTAAAGAATCTTGGTTCTGTCAATTCAAGTTCCCCTAATCTATATTTTAAATTGCAGAAGTTAATTTGTATATGTCATCAATAGATGTATTTATGGATTCAAGCATATTTAAATGGTTGAGGTAAACATGTTCACAAGGTATTTGTCAAAATGTCTAAAAGAAGCTACCATTAAATAGTTTAACATAGAGTTGAAAAGTAATTGAAAGATGAAACTTAATTTGGAGTATGCTTAATATATGAGCAAGCCCAAACTATATTTGCATTTGACTTTCTAGTAACTGTATACTAAATTATCAAAAAATTATTGCAAACCGGATTGACTGCTCAATGTTTTTTTTGCCTGGAGTAATAAGTATTAAGTACTCATATTAATATAGAAACAAACTATTTATATTAATTGCTGCAGTTTATACACGAGAAGAAGAACTTAATGTGTATTTGCCACTGCCCATCTATCATAGTTTAATACTTTAATGTATGGTAAACTTTCACTTCCTTTTAGTCAGACCAGTTTAATTAGTTTAATGTAGCTACCAATCTCTCATTTCATCTTAATATATGTGGTTTTTTCTTTTTTGAAGTTTTGAGCAGGTAAATATTTATATTTGAATAAAGTCACAAATTCTACATATATTGTGACTTCACTATGATGGTAAATTCTACAAATATTGTGACTTAACAAATATTGTGACTTAAAGTTGTCATCACCAACTCGAATGCAGATTTCATAGTTTATACATTGCTCTAGTTTTTTTGACAAAATACTAAGTTATTTGGTTAAATAGCAATCTCACAGCACCTTGCTACCTTTTCTCTCTAACAATGTTACTTTAAGAGTTCAAGATATTTTAGCATAATGGAATTCAAGTGGTCTCTTCAATTTTTCTTTATGTACATCATAAAATGTGTGTTTGTTTGTTTGTTATAATTTGCAGCCTATATGACAGCCAATCATGGTGACGGAAGATAGTGAACCCGATATTCTCTAAAATGAAATTGGAGGAAAGTCAAGAGTACTCTTCAGAAAAAGAAATGAACGATTCACTTAAGCCTATATATGACTTATATATAAAAAGTATGTCATTCTCCCAACTGATATCATCTGATCTCCAAAATTTATACTGAACACCTTTTAATTCCTTGTTTTTCTTGTCAGAGATTTAGAAATAGTGATTTAATCTTTCAACTTATTGATAATTTGTAGCTCTTAGGACCTTAATTTCATATCTTTCATTTTCTTCAATTATCAGTTCACATTTTTACAGGTCATTTATATTAATAGGTTCTCCATACAAGCATAAATGACTATGCTTGAGGAGAAACAACCTCACTAAACCTTGTTCAGGTAAGTGACTTGTCTGTATAGCTTACACGTATGTGCCAATGCTTAACACAAATCCAACATTGTATTTTAAGGATGTTTTCTTGCTGATAGAAGTATTCTGAGTTTTTTAGTTTTTGTTTTTTCAGATTGATTTTTCTACAAATTGCAAATTTTGAGTCTTATTTTTAGGAGTTCATTTTTTACAGATTATTTGGGTTTGTTGGCTTTTAATTTTATAGATGGCATTGGTTTTATAAAACTGAAAGTATATATCAGTTTTTTCGACAGTTGTGTTGGTTCGTTCGCTTTTGAGCATTGTTTTATCCTTAGAATTCATATTGTTGCATAAATGTATTAATCATGTTAGACGTTTCAGTATCCTTAGAAGTCTTTTAACAGCTTGAAGGATCTATACTATTACAATGGAAGTTGAATTGAATTCCGTTAACTAAACTTACAGCTCTTAGATGCTTATCAGGAATCTTCCAATAAGACGGAGGGAGCAGAGTACTTTCTTAAAGATGGAAAATTTATGCACACACAGAGAGTACCTTGCTGATTACAGGCAAAGAATGCATGAAATGGAATAGGGAGAAAGAACAAGCATAGTGGTTGTCATCTTTTTCACTGCACACAAGGTTTGGTTTGCTTTTATGAAAGAATTGAGGTATTTTTATACCATGTCAGGAGTATGACTGGTGATGAAGTCATGGCTTTATCCAAAGTAATGACTTTACTCTGTTTATGACTAACTACCTGACTAGTAATTTGTAATGCTCTCCAGTCTTTAGTTCTAAGTCAGCCAATTTTATTCTTCCGTGCCAATGCTCTGCTTGTGATTTTATTTATCCTCAATTTTGGCAACATGTAGACAGTCTTAACATAGGACAACATGTTTTTTCCACAAAAAGGGCGTGCTCTCTTTCCACAAAATCTTTGAGTGAGCTGTGGTTTTTTTATAACCAATTGATGTCTTTGTATCCAAAAAACTAACTAATGACTTTGCGGTACTTAAGGTGAGTGGGCTGTGGTTTCTTTATAAAGCTAATACTGCAGGAGAAGGCTTTCTTTCAGCTACACTGCTAAATGTTTGCTAACTGTTTTCAGGAAAAAGCAAAAAAGGTAAAGAAAATTGGAAAAACAAGCAAAAGAAATGCAAAGAAACTGCCATGTCAATGAGGCAGGTTCTCAAAACTTACATAGTAATAAAAGCACCCCTATTTTGTAATAGGGGTTTATATGTTCTTTTGTCACATTTTTTATTGGAATAATTAAGATAGATATACTACTTGTGTTGGTGTGGCTTTAATTGACTATTGCTTGGTGTTAATGACTTTAAAAGTTGATTTATTTATGTTTATGTATTATATATTTTTAAAAGTTCAATTTGGCGTAATATATATATATATATAATTGTTATTTTTAATCATTCTTCTATGGTATTAAATTTTAATCGTATTTTTCTTGATTTCAGACAGTTGTTCTTTGTAAAGAATCAAGGTGCGATTTCATGATACATTTCACTGAAAGACTCTTTTGCTTTCATTGCTATTTTCCAACTCTTTTGCATCTTGTTGCCTTATGGTTCCTTTGAGTTTTTATTGAGCAGTCAGGGAATCACATTAGTAACTCTGACTATAACAACTGAGCTTGGCTGAGGAACAGGTCCATCATCCATGTGTCTCTTGTCCAGTAATAGAAGAAGTCTGAGTGCAAACATAGTAATAGAATGATGGCTTCATTCAGTGCAGCAGAAGATATGATGTCTATGTATAACAAGAATGTGAAGGCCCTGTGAAGAATGGGGTAAAAGTTGGATTTGTTAGCGTTTTGTTCTTGTTTTGTACTTGTCGCTCCGGGATATGTCCCTATGAATTATGTAGAATGTACATTCACATTAATGTGAGACTTTGAGATATAAATAAAAATATTTGAACTTTCGGTTATTTATTAGTATTAAATTATGATTGTAATCAATGTATCATGTGTAT